TCTCCGGCTCTCTGTATTCCTTCAGACACAGATCCACCAGAACACAGGAGTAGGGTGTTACGCATCTCAGCGGCCCGAACCTGTCTACGTCGCCCGTGTCTTGTGCGCTTCCTCTCTCGCTGACGTTCCTCAGATCGAGGGCGAAGAACCTCACTTAGCGCCCCCGGCCGAACCGGCAAAGGGGGGCCTGCGCGGTCTCCCGGTGAGGAGCCCCACGCTCCGTCAGAGCTGAAGCTATTGCTAGACCATTATTCCACTGCTGTTTTTTTTTCTTTTATAAGTATGTAACGTTATTATTATGATGGATTTGTATATTAAATTGTCAGTTTGTGTACCTCGGCTGATTCCTGGACGAGGATTTTATGCACAAATAAGTTCGGAAATTACTAGTGAATTTCCGGGCGTGACAGATTATGTGGTACAGATTTCTGGGGATTCAGTTATGGCTAAAGGGAATTTGGATTTTTGAATAGAAGGGATTGAAATGGTTTCTTAGCACAAGAGAAATTATTCTGGAAATATTATTCTTGTGCCAGAAAGAATCAAACCTTGGGTATCAAACTGGCGGTTTGATTTATAGATAGAAGAATTTGGATAATGGAATATCTAGAGGAATTTGTGGAAGGTGTTGTATGAAAGAGAACAAGGATTTCTAAAGATAGGTCTAGATCAAGGGTTTGATCCAGAATAAATTTCAGCAAAAAGGAAATTATACTGGTTTAGCCCCAAGGATAAAATGGTTAATGGAATATAACAAAGAGTCGGGTCAATCAGGGAATTATTGGCCCAAGCTAAATAGTAGACTTTGAAATCTTGAGTGGATAATTTAGATGAACGAGATTTTAAAGGGAAATATTTGTGGGAGTATAGAACTGGATTCAGAAGTATATATGGATGGGAATTTCTACAGATGGAATTGGTGGTAGATTGATAAACTCTAAGGGATGGGTATGTTAACTTAAAGGGGGATTGAAGAGTATATTTTATGGACTCTGGGAATATTGAGATGAAAAGGAAAGGTATTAACTCTGAGGAAATTGGAAATTGTCTATGTACTCTAGGGAGGTTAGAGAATGACATTTCATATACTCTGGAGATAGTTGAGTGAAGATCAAAAGGAAAGTATTGGTTCTGGAGAAAATAAGAATTGATATTTCGTGTGTTTGGGTAGAGATCAAAGGGGAAGTATTTTGTGGAAGATAAAACTGGATTTGGTGGTAGTGGTAATCTCTAAATGAAAAGGTATTAACTCTAGAGAGATTGATATCTCATATGCTCTAGAGATGGTTGAACGGCAATTGAAAGGGTATTTGTTGGAGGTGTTCGGGAATGGATTCAAAGGAAATATAATTTTGAGTCAAAGTTAAAGATTAAAGAAAATAAATAAATAGGTTTTTATAAAATTAAAAAGGGATTTAAAAGAGAGCTTTTAATTTAGTAAATAAAATCTAGATCCAAGTTAAAGAAAAGGTTAAAAGCAAGATTATTCCAATGGAAGAATCGAGAAGAGCATAACTTAAAATATTTCGCAAAAATTTTTCCATGAAAATTTGAGTCCGTTACAATAGGCCCGCATAGAAACTTGCATATCAATTTGCACTCGATTTAAATACGCGATATCCGTCTTGGAGTTGAGCTAATTATATGATGCATGGCTACATATCACCAATAATTTAGCTCAGGTTGCCAAGACGGATATCGCGTATTTAAATCGACTGCAAATTGATATGCAAGTTTCTATGCGGGCCTATCAAATGCAGGGTTAGCCATCTCATCCGGCTACTTATGGGCAATAATGTGGCTTAATTTGTCGAGACAAATAATGTGTATTTAATCAGTGTGCAAATTGATATGTAAGTTTTTCTATAAATGTAGGGTCAGGCGTCTCATCTGTACTCGGTAGTTTGATTTTGGAGTGTATTTTTTACATTTTGGACTTTTTCAAACTTATTTTACAAATATACCCTTAAAAATGTCATATTTCGAAAATGGATCATTTTCGCAACGCCAACATCATTGACGCCGTTTCTCTTGACTTATCTTCGCTGGAGAGACTAGAGGGACAACACTAATGTTTAGTACCGTCATGTTAGACCATGGTATCAATGACATTGACGACATGAAAATGATTTATTTTTAGAATAAGCTTTTTGAAAAATTTATTTGTAAAATAAGTTTTCACAGTAGACCAAAAAGTGAAAAATCGAGATATTTTGGAGTGGTCATCATCACTCCCTCGTCGCTGTCGTTGTTGTCATCGTTCTTTAATTTCCTGTCCTTTCACGACCATGTCAGAGAAGATAAGAATACAATACATGCATATCCAGTTACTGATATGTACTTGGTTCGATTTTGGAGTGGTCATCATCACTCCATTGCCGCTGTATTTGTTGTCATCGTTTTCTTCGTGTCCTTTCATGATCATGTAAAAAAGATAAGACTTCCTTTGTTAAGGGCTTGTTTAGTCTAAAAACTTTTCCCAAAAACATCCCATCAAATCTTTAGACACATATATAAAACCTTAAATATAGATTAAAAGAAAAAAATAATTACACAATAATTATATGTAAATTGCGAGACGAATCTTTTGAGCCTAATTAGGCCATCCATGATTACCCATAAAGTGCTGCAGTAATCCACATGTGCTAATGACGGATTAATTAGGCTCAAAAGATTCGTTTCGCGGTTTCCAGACGAGTTATAAAATTAGTTTTTTTCATTCGTATCTGAAAACCCCTTCTGATATCCGGTCAAACATCTGATGTGACATCCAAAAATTTTTATTTCACCGAGTCCTAAAATGTACCCCTTCATAGTATCCTACTATGTACTTCCTCTGTCAAAAAATCAGTGTCAACTTCATCATCGGCCCAGTTTCTCGAGGGATATATAGCCATTATAGGACATATTGTATAGTCAAAACTGCATTATTGGTGATATGTGACGCATGACGCATGGCTACATATCACTAATAATTTAGCTCAGTTTGACAAGACGGATATCGCGTATTTAAATCGAGTGTAACTTGATATGCAATTCTAGCTATGCAGGCCTCTCAAATGTTTGCCAAGAAGTAGTAAAGATTAATTTACTATCAGAATACTCTTACAATATTAGAGTACACGGCCATAGAAAACGGCCACATCAACCAATGTACCCATGCCATCGCTGCCGCTATCAGCTCTACATATAGGATTCTCCCCCTCTTTCTGGTGGAGAAATGATCTTTGCTAGGTCGATCCAAAACCATAATAGTCTCGATTCCAAAAAAAACCGGGATTAAAAATGATCTTTAGTCCCGGTTAAAGATCCTACTAAAAATGTCAGATGTATGTCGGGGGCCGAGGATCTTTAGTCCTGGTTGGTGTCACGCCAACTGGGACTAAAGATCACCACTTTAGTCTTGGTTGGTAATACCAACCGGGACTAAAGATCATCTAGACTCTCGGTTGGTATTACCAACCAGAACTAAAATTAAACGCGTAATATATAATCCCTATCACTTATCCTCTCCTCTACAATCGCAACTCACACAGATCAAATCTCTCCCCCTCTTCCCTTTCCTCCTCCTCTCCTCTCCTACAGTCTATCCTCTCTTCCTCATCCCCTCTCCTCCACCTCCTGCCCTTCCTCCTCTCCTCCCCCTCCTCCCCTTCCCATCCGGCGGGCCGGCGGCCGTGGCGAGCAGTGGCAGCGGCTTTGTTTGTCTTTTTTTATATAATCTGTGATTCACTAAGATGTTTAAATTTGTGATTCAATGCATGGATCTGAGATGTATAATCTGTAATGTATTTGATTTGTGTGTAATTTTTTAGGATTTGTGATGTATTTGATTTTTGTGTATAAGTAACTTTAAGATTTATGATGTAGATTTGGGATGTTACATTGATTTGGGGATTTAGGGTTTGATTTGATTTGGGGATTTGGGGTATGATTTAGGGATATGCATGCCACTTGATTCGGGAGAAAATAAAAAAAGAAAAAAAAGAAAAGGGGATCATCTGGTACTGCCGCTATTCTTTCTTTACTCTCGGTTGATAACATCAACCGGGACTAAAGATCCCTCTCTTTAGTCCGGTTGGTCCATCTTTAGTCTTGGATTCCTATTCCGGTTGGAAAACCGAGACTAAAAGGGTTACTAACCGGGAGTAAAAATAGTTTCCACCTATATATAAAGTAAAATATATGACTGATTCAATATGTCATCTGAGGTCCAACGTGTAACGATCGATCGAATCGCCATCGTAGCACCCACTGTGGCGAGAAATTTGTATTTAGACCCCTCGTGCTATATAATATGCCTTCAAGTCAACTTCCAAACACTCCCAGACCTTTTGAGAAAAAAAATTCAAAAATATACTTTTTTTTCATTGGTTTTATATAAATATACAGGTTTAGAAAGAAATTATAGAAATCTAATCGTCACGAAAGAAAGTTCAAAATCGCGTGTTGCCGCACGACTTGCGCGAGACCGCTCAGTCTCGCGCGCGTCTCCTGTGTGCAAGACCGGACTTCGCTTCCCTAACCTTTGATTAATAAATTAATTAATTAGTGTCATTAGCATTTAATTAATTAATAGTAATATTTTTTAATAAACATCATTAGTAATTAATTAATCGGTAATTGTCTGTTAATTATCCACTAATCATGATGCCAGTTGCCAGGCCATCTCGCGAGCGGATGAAGCGAGACCGTGACTGGACCTACGGTATCGCGGCAGGATTTGGCGAGACCGCGGCACGGCGTCACGCCATTGTAATTTTCGCTGAATGGATATCGTTTTGATTTCGTACTCCGACAACGGTATATTTGTTATAAAAAATTTAGGGTAATTGTGTTCTTGTTCTTGCTTTACAGTTGAATTGTGATTTTACCCCTACTTTTTAGGGTTTATGATTTTGTCCTATCTTTTTGAAATGAAGGAGTGGAGTGCCCCTATTATGTTAAAATTTGCTAACGGTGTTACATGGGCGACACAACGACGAGTATACCTCTTGTGCAAATATGTGTTCACTTGTGTATTTACCCGTTTTGAGTTCAGCTTTGAACGGAACTTTACAAATGTTTCGAAGTGAACTTTGCTATACTTGGAATTTATAAAAAGTTTGACTATATTTCAGCAATAGCTTAACAAATATCACAAAATTTCAACAGGATTCCAACATGATTTCAGCAATGATTAGACAAGATTTCATTTCACAAAATTTCAACATACTTTGAAAAAAGAGATCTCACTGAATTTCAACACAATGTTAGCTAGCATCACAAAGTCCAGCAGCACCACCTGTGGTCGTCCCTGAGCTCCCCTTCGCGCCGGACCACACTGGCCTGCGGTCGCCGCCGCGCCTCCCTTCGTGCCGGCCAGTGGTCGCTGCCGCCACGCTGGCCCGCGGTCGCCGTCTCGCCTCCTGCGCACCGGCCAGCACTCCTTGCCGCCGCACAGGCCCGCGGTCGCCGCCTCGCCTCCTGCACGTCGGCCAGCGGTCACCGCCGCCGCGCTGGACCGCCGTCGCCGTCTCGCCTCCTGCGCACCGGCCAGAGGTCTTCGCCGCCTCGCCTCCTGCGCGTCGGCCTGCGGTCGCCGCCGCCGCGCTAGCCCGCGGTCGCCGTCTCGCCTCCAACGTGCTCGCCAGTGGTCGCCGCCGCTGCCACCGGTTGAATGGTCATGTTGCTGCGCCATCGCCACCACTCGCTAGGCCATGCTGGATGGGGAAATACACAGCTTCAACCCGATACACACAGCTGCTTAGTGATTTACTACTCACCATGGGTATAACAGTCATTGAGAAATTGCAATATCATTTTTTATTTTCTTTTCCCTTTGTTTAACTCAAAAATTCCGGGCCCACCTAACTCCCGTCAAAACCAGGGGCAAAAGGCTGCTCATTTCGAAAAAGCAGGGGCAAAAGCACAAACCCTAAAAAATAGGGGTAAAATCACAATTAGATCGCAAAGCAAGAACAAGAACGCAATAGCTCCAAAAAATTTACATCTCCGATATTTATGAGAAAAGAAGGCCTTGTTTAATTCCAAACTTTTTTTTTCAAACTTCCAACTTTTCCATCACATCAAAACTTTCCTACACAAATAAACTTCCAACTTTTCCATCACATCGTTCCAATTTCAACCAAACTTCCAATTTTAGCGTGAACTAAACACACCCGAAGTAAATGAATAGAATATTTGTAGATTTACTTTCATCTTTTGATGCATGACTTGAGCTATAAATTTTTCAGACGTTGAGAAATGCATATGTGTTGATTAGGGATGATAGGAGTTGATTTTTTTAGGAAGTAGCAGTTAATTTTGAGGGCATAACTTCGCAAATAGACCAAGTGTAAAATTCTTATTACCGTGGACTGTCACTTGAGCTGCGTCATTTAAACTTTAGATCTTGAGTTATACATTGAAGCAAGAGATGGGTGAAAAGGACAGTATTCATCCGAGCTTAAGCACCAACAATGTATTTTACCCATATAATTGTTGGGAATTGATAGGCTAGTGCGAAGTGGATGAAGGATAGTGATTCTAGGTAAATCGAGACTAAGAAGGGTTGAAAGGACTGATACTAAAGATACATACTAAGCCAAAATAATATGTGAGATGTTGCATTCGAACTCAAAATCTTTCACCTTAGCCCTCACGCACATTACCATCTCACCTACTACACACATCTAACTTGAATATAGATGTTTTTCTTTTAAACTAACTCTGAAGATATCTTTACTACCATTTGGTAACATCAACCGGTTTTAGAAATATCTTTAGTACGGGTTGTTGTTTTCAACCGATACAAAAAATGCATCTTTAATGCTGGATAGTAATTAACATCAACCAAACTAAAGATCATCCAACATTAGTCTCGGTTGGTACTACCAACCGGTACTAAAGATATATTTTTTATTGGTTGATAACACCAACCGAGATTAGAGATGTTTATAGCGATTTGGACTTTTAGAAACGGTACTACCGGTACTTAATCTAGTTGAAATATTTATGTTTTGGGGCTTTGGATAAAAACTCGTTTGTCAAGTAGTGACTATAGTCTTCTAAAGGGGTATACATACAAAACAACGTACATATTATAGTCAACGCATAACCACACGCACCTGCTGAGTACACACCAAACTGGAATTTCATATGTACAAAATTAAAAGAAAGGAGAGAATATGGTACTTAGAGTATCACTTCTGTCTTAGTCTCGTCATAAATGTCATCGGTTGTAACTTTCTGACGTCGGAAGAAAAGGTTAGTGTCTATACTAGTTACTACCATATTCGTCTCATAATATAAGGGTTTTTAGCGTTGGATACGGTTATTAAGAAAGTTGGTAGAATTAAACGAGAGAATGTTGTGATTGAATGGGATGTGAAGGTAGATGGAAAAATTAAATAGTGGAGGGTTGTGATTGGTTGGGAAGAGAATACTAGAGAAGAAATTGTTATATTTTGGAAAAATTTTGAAGGCTAAAAGTTATTATATTTTGGAAGGGAGGGAGTACCTCGGTTTCATATTATAATACACTTTCATTTTTCCCTAAATAAAATTTCTATAAATTTAATCTTTTTTCACGAACGCGTAAAATAATTGCACGTCAATATATTAAACGAATCTATAAAATTAATCAAGTTTATAGTGAAATCTAACAACTCTTAAAACATCAAATTAGATCCATTAAATCTAATATTAAATATATTTTGATAGCATGTTTGTTTGCTGTTGAAAATATTATCATGTTTTTCTGTAAACTTAATCAAAATTATATAAATTTGACTTAGAAAAAAAGTTAAAGCTCTTACGAAATGAAGGGTGTACATGTTTGGGCTTTGGACAACTACATCTGTATATAAGTTTGCCCTCAAATCTGAGTTTAAGTGCACCACCTTGTGGCCCTCCAGCGCGCGCATATATATATATATATACCAGCCTTTCCCACATAGATCATCCAACCAATAGCTAACCACGAAAGTGCAAGTGAGACTAACCTTGTACCTGTAGTGAGTACTGGTGATGATGGCTGCGAGTAACGGAGAGGAACCTCCTAGCACATCCATGGCAACAAGTTCTTCTCCATTGCCCATGGTCGCTCAACTGATGGTCACCACAGACCGTGCTGTAAGCCAGCAGCTGAAGGATCTAGTGAATAAGGAAAACTCCACTACCATGGTGGCGGCGTTGTCCTTAAGTAGAGAGGCTTATGAGGTGGCGATGGCGTTGAAGAACGGGGAGGAGCATCGGCAAGGGAGATGCAGCGGCAAGGGAGATGCAGCGGCAATGTTGATGATGATGGCGTCCAAAAAAGAAGACGCCGCAAAGCCTTCCACTGCGTCCATGAACCCCCTGTTGCTATCACTAGCATCGCAGGGTCGTCTAAATGATTATGGTAGTATTCTTTCCTTACAGAGATTAAGATTTACTAAACGGTGTGTTTCATATGAAATATATATATATATATATATATATATATATATTGCTTTAAAATATTAAATATATCTATTTGTTAAGTTTTCAATAATTAAAACTTAATTAATCGTGTGTTAATATATTCTGAACATGGAAGCAATATATAGCTGCTGCTCGAGCATTTCCTAATGATCTCCAACGGGACTCTTCGGGTAATGGATCTAATAATAACTAGGCGATTCCCATGCTCTGAGGAATTTTATACTTTATAGTTCTTGAGAAAGTATCTTGAGATATCTAAATTTTATGTTCTTGAGAAAGTATCTTGAGATATCTAAATTTTATGAAAAATTTTTTAGTACCTTAGTAGCTAGTACCTATAGGTACCAAATTTAAACTCGAAAATATAGTACCTCTAAATACTTTCTCAAAAATGGTAAAATTACCCATGTTATAAGAATTATTATGTAATCTTTAATATTTTCTTCAACAGTTGAGCAAGGAGTAAACATGATATTAGTCATTGATAGCAAATAAAATTGTTCTGCCAAGTCATATTTACAGAGAAATAAAGTTAATAGACTCAAAGAAGATTGTAGATAAAATATTAGGTTGTTGACCAAAATTTACATCGCAAGAAGCGGGAGATAGAAAAAATGATGAAAATCAAGGATTAATTAGTACTAATCATAAAAAACTAAATAATTTCCCATGCTTTGATATGGAATATATGGATGAATCACTAGAACGGTAACCACCATCTCAATCAGGCGGCAACCCCCATCTCAGTCGGACATGGCGTCCGTCACAGCCTAGAAATCACAGATGTGAAAAGTTATCTCAATCGGACAAACGGCTGTCACTAATGAAGCTATCTCAATCAGGCCTCAATTAAAGCCCGTCACTGATAGCCTTGAACCAGACGACCAGTCAAACTATAGCCCATCACGGCTGACCTATCTCAATCGGGCCACAACTAGCAAATATCTCTTATTTGGTTTATAAACTATAAAATAGATATGTAAAATTTGTGAACAATGTTACTAACACTTTGTCTGACGAAGAAATGAAAAAAATAAAAATTATAGATCTTGATGAGTTATACAACTTTGTTGTTGATGACTTTTTAGTTGAAATCATTTAGTATTTGAAAATGTTGTTTGAAGTTGTCATATTTTCAAATTCAAATTCAAACTGTTCAAAAAAAAAGTTATATAGAAAAATAACCAAAATAAAAGTTATAGATCTTGATAAGTTATACAAATTTGTTGTTGATGACTTTTTTAGTTGAAATCATTTAGTATTTGAAAATGTTGTTTTGAAGTTGTTATATTTTGAAATTCAAATTCAAACTATTCAAAAAGAGTTATATAGAAAAATGACCAAAATAAAAGTTCTAAATCTTGATAAGTTATACAAGTTTGTTGTTGACAATTTTTCCATTTGAAATCATTTACTACCCGAAAAAATAATAAAATGAATTATTATACTGCAGTTAATTATTTTGATATAGGTCAACTCACAAATATAAACATTTCATATGAAAAATGGAAAAATACTAAGTCATATTAATCGGGCATTACTATAGTTAACGGATGAGTCATGTGTGACAGGCCTAATTATTATCGATTGAGATATGGTCGCACGTACATGTTAGATGGGCATAAAAATCAGGCCCGCCACTGATGACCTCTATCAGTGACAGGCCGTAGTTTAGGCCCGATTGAGATAACGATCCATATCTCAATCGGGTCTCAAGTTGGCGCCCGTCACGGATGATCATCAAGTTTAGCCCCGATAGAGATAATGTTCCATTTCTCAAACTTGAGGCCCGATTGAGCTATGGAACGTTATTTCAATCGGGCCTAAATTACGGCCCGTCACTGATAGGTGTCATCCGTGACGAGCCTGAGTTTTATGCCCATTTAATATGTCTATGCGACTATATCTTAATCGGACACTTTTTCGGCCCGATTGAGATGACTTTCTAGTGACGGCCTACTAATTCTAGGCATGTTAGAGACCGTCACAGATGAAAGGTTTTGTACTAGTGAATATACATGTCAAGTATTATAAAAATGATGACTATATATGTTAAAATATTTTAGAAATGATGTGAGAGGTGATGATGATTGGATATGTTTACATGTTGATTTATAGAATTTAATAAATTATAAATGATATTGTATGTATGCATTAGCTTTTTTATAACTAATATTATTGCTAGTAGATAATAATGTGGTATCTTTATATATTATGTTTAATATTTAGTGAGTTATAACTCTGGAAGGTATAGATATGACGACGCAGCAAGCTTCTGGTGCAGATGCAGAGTCGGGCATGGATCTGGACGGGGTCACCACTGAAGGGAACACTGCACTCCATGTTGTGGCCACCTGCGGTGATGGCCCGGGCTACTTGAGGAGTGCAGGCGTCATCTACAGCAGGTCCCAACATCTCATGTTAGTGCAGAACAACAACGGTGACACACCTCTGCACTGCGCTGTCCGGGCTGGCCATTCCAAAATGGTTGATCATCTAATTGATCTGGTTGAAACTAAGGACAACTCCCCTAGCAGCGCGAGACTGGAGGAACTCCTGAGAAAGGAAAACTGCCGTAAGGAGACGGCCTTTCATGATGCCGTCTGCATTGGAAATAAGGATATAATCACCAACCTTCTTAAATATTATTCAGAATTGGCCGGCTTCCTTATGGATGCAACAGGTACTTCACCGTTGTACCTAGCTGTCTTGCATCAACAGGTCGACATTGCAAAGTTATTGCATCAAATGACAGACGGGAATCTTTCGTACTCTGGCCCAAATAGACAAAATGCATTGCACGCAGCCGTTCTACAAGACCAAGGTACGTGTGCAATTTATATTTGCTGTTTTGAATTTCATTCTAGCTATATTCCATACTTATTTTGAATCATATATTTGCTTTTATCATAAAGCGACAACTTAATTTGTTTTATAAGTTTATAGGTCAATATGTCATACACAAATGCAAAACTCATGCTTTTGCAAGTTGGGGCCCACAATGCAAGTCATACGCACATATATAGTGGGAAATATTTGTAGCTTTCTAATAAAAATAAAATGGTTTGCTATCGTGTCAATTTCGTTGAAAGTATATAAGATTGATTGAGCGAGAGAGATTGAGCGAGAGAGAGAATTGAACGCAATAGAGCGAATGAGCGGATGTCCTTTATTGATCAATGCGGTACAATTTATAGATAGGAAATGGGTGCTAAGGAGTGCCTAGGGAAGAGGGGGGTGCTAATGGGCGGGTGATCGCTCTCCGTCCCCCTATACTCTACTCTTTCCCTTCCTCCTCCCCTTCTTCTCTTCCTACTACACCATAAATTTAAAAAAAATAAAAAAATAAAGTTGGAAAAATTTATGTATAGAAAATACTATATATAAAAATATTTGAATTTAAATTCAAATTTGAAATGGGTATGTAAACTTTTGACTTATAAACTTTGGGTCTATAAACTAATATTTGAATTCAAATTCAAATTTGAATCGGGTATGTAAACTTTTGACTCATAAACTTTGGGTCTATAAACTTTAGGTGTATAAACTTTAGATGTAAAGAAATACTATATATAAAAAATATTTGAATTCAAGTTCAAATTTGAATCGGATATAATTTAAATTCAAATTTGAATCGGGTATATAAACTTTTGAATTATAAACTTTAGGTCTATAAACTTTAGATGTACAGAAATATTATATATAAAATATATTTGAATTCAAATTCAAATTTGAATCTGATGTATAAACTTTTGACTTATAAACTTTGGGTCTCTAAACTTTAAGTGTATAAACTTTAGATGTGTAAACTTGAGGTGTACAAACTTTAGGTGCATAAATTTACTAAAATAGGAAAGTAATGCGGTGCCAAAAAAGGAACCCACGTGGAGGAGGGGGAGGGGGATCGGATCTGATCGCCCTGAGCGAGCAATCGCCTAGTAGCAATTCCGTAGGGAAGAGGCGTGGTTGCCTTCGGTTGCGATCAATCCTTTTATATGGATGAGATCACCCTATTGTTTCATAATACTCTCCCTTGATCGAATCCAGCTTTGATCATTGCTCTTTCATTGTTCCAGAATATTTGTAAACATAATCTTAGAAATAATTATAATTTATTGTATTAGATACATCAGGTAAACTCCTCAAAAACCCATTGGGAAAATAAGGAGAAGAACCGTGATATATAGTTAACTATTTTTAGACTTTATGAGTAAAGCTCATAGTATGGTCCAAAATTAGTATAATGTCTATAGTTATCATTTAGTAAAAACCCTAGTGGGGAAAAGCAAAATGATAAGACATATAACTTATGTTGATATTACCTCGTTAAAAACTTTGGATGAGAAAATATAAAGGGTAAAACTCATACAAAGGAAAAATAGTATAATATGACGAAAATAGGTTATTTCCCAGAGAGAGTTACTCCCCCTCAATCCTGCAAATTTTTAAGTCATCTCATACCAATTCCTTCGACACATTTAAAAAATATGGAGTATGGCAGAGATTTTATGAATAAATCAGCGAGATTATCACATGACTTAGTTTGCAAGATGTTTATCTCTCCATGTTGCTGAAGCTCATGAGGATAAAATAATTTAGGAGCAATATTCTTAGTGATGTTGCTCTTAATATAACCAGTTTCCATCTAAACAACACAAGCGGCATTATCTTCATAGATAATGGTAGGTGATTCTAATGAACCAATACCACAAGATGTTAATATGTGGTTAATCATTCTGTGAAGCCATAAACATTCACGTGATGCCTCATATAATGCAATTATTTCAAAATGATTTGTGGAAGTGGCTACCAGTGTCTGTTTAGAAGACTTCCATGAAATAGCAGTTCCACCTTGTAAAAGTACGAATCCTGTTTGTGATTTGGCATTGTAGGGATCAGATAGATAGCCAGCATCAGTATACCCAATTAAGGTCGAATCTTGGTTCTTTTTAAAGAAAAGTCTAAGATCTCTTGTGCTATTAAGATATCGAAAGACATTCTTAACTCTAGTCGAATGGCGTTTGGTAGGAGCAGCGATATATCTTGCTAATAGATTTACCGAGAAAGCAATATTTGGCCTCGTACTATTTGCAAGATACATAAGTGCGCCAATAGCACTAAGATATGGAAAATCAGGTCCAAGCACATCCTCACCATCTTCCTTTGGTCTAAATGGGACTTTCTCCACGTCTAGAGATCGAACCACCATAAGGGTTTTGGAAAGATATGACTTGTCCATATATTGAATTTCTCCAAAATTTTCTAGGTATATGCACTTTGGTGCACAAGGATTCCAGAAGGTAAATGCTCAAGTTGTATACCTAAGCAAAATTTGGTTTGACCCAAATTCTTCATCTCAAATTCCGTCTTTAAATGATGACGTGCTTCATTAATATCTTGTGTATTGCCAATGATGTTAAGATCATCGACATATACCGAGATAATACAAAATCCTGTGGGGGACTTTTTGATAAGGACACATGGGCAATCATCATTTTTAGTGTATCTCTTTAGTGAAAGGAATTTACTTAATCGGTTGTACCACATCCTGCCCGATTGTTTTAAGCCACAAAGTGACTTCTGCAACTTAACACAATACATGTTACGATTTACCTTCTGATTCGGCATGTCGATTCCGTCAGGAACCTTCATGTAAATATTAGAATCAAGTGATCCATAAAGGTATGCTGTCACTACGTCCATCAACTGCATAAATAGACGATTTTGTACTATCAATGATATTAAATATCGGAAAGTTATACCACCCATAACTGGAGAGTAAGTTTAGTTGAAATCAACGCCATGTTTTTGCGTAAAACTTTGTGCTACAAGCCTTGCTTTATATCTCACCACCTCATTGTTTTCATTCCGTTTCCAGACGAAAACCCATTTGTATCCCACAGGAAAGATACCACGAGGAGTAGGCATTACAGCCGAGAATACATCTCTTTTGTAAAGCGAGGCTAATTCTGCGTCAGTTGCGTCCTTCCATTTGTTCCAGTCAGAGCGCTTTTGGCACTCTTTTATAGACCTAGGTTCTGGATCAACTTGCAGGCAATCAGCAATTTATTCAGAAAAATTAATGTCAACAATTGTAGCTCTTCTATCAAAAGATTCTCCAGTTTCCGAGTAGTTGATGGCAATTTCATCAACCCTTATAGACTCATTGTGATTTCCCAAAACAATGTGTCTATGGTCTTCTGAATTCCTAGTCTCAGCATTATGCACAACTGGGCTAGGTTGCAGATTATCACGATCTGCTTGATACATAGTATCAATTTGGTGTGTACCAACTTAAGGTTGGTTTGCATTTATTGTCTTTCTTTTCTTGCTAGCAACTGTATCTCGCTGAGTGGCCAAACTTCTTCCTCTCTTTTTAGTGAGTGGAAGTTGAGTGGTTTTATTTGGTACCTCCACTCTTTCTAGCGCATTCTGAGCAGGAATGAAAGATTTAGTAACACCTTTATAATTAGTAAATGCATCTGGCAGGTTATTTGCAAGTCTTTGCAAATGTATAATTTCCTAAACTTGAAGTTCAGTTTCAGTAGTGCGTGGGTGTGAGGCTGGAATACCCTGGGCATCCCAATCAATTTCCTGTCATTCTTTCTGGTACTTGAAGTCTCCCGCTAATGCCGGGAAATTTTCCTCATCAAAGATAGAGTCAGCGAACCGGGCAGTAAATAGATCACCTATTAAGGGTTTTAAATACTTTATGATCGACGGAGATTTAAATCCCACATAGATCCCCACTTTCCTGTGTGGGCCCATAGCGGTACGATGTGGTGGTGAGATCAGTATGTATACAATACAACCGAACTTACACAAATGGGAAATACTTGGAGGATTTCCACGTACTAACTGCATTGGGGAAGTTTCACGATATGCAGTTTCCTCAATGCAGTTGGTCGTAGTTGGACAAGGTCAGCAGTGTGCAGAACTACATGACCACAACACAACGAAGGTAATTTGCAGTTTATCAATAATGGTCGGGCAATAAGCTTAATTCTTTAGATCAATGATTCAGCCAAACCATTTTGTGTGTGGACATATGGAACAGAGTGTTGAACCTGAATTCCCAATGCCATACAATAATCATCGAAAGCATGAGATGTAAATTCGGCAGCGTTGTCTATACGGATTGATTGAATCCTATGTTCAGGATAATTTCCCTTCAGCCTTATAATTTGAGACATTAGTTTGGCAAAGGCATGGTTTCGTGTCGATAGAAGACACACATGAGACCATCTAGTAGATGCGTCAATCAAAACCATAAAGTACCTGAACGGTCTAGATCTTGGCACCATAGGGCCACAGATATCTCCTTGAATGCGTTCAAGGAATTTAAGTGGTTCGGCTCTAATTTTGAGATAAGATGGTCTCAAAATCAGTTTCCCAGTAGCACATGCTGTGCATACGAAATCAGAGTATTTGGGAAATTTGTCAGTGATCAAATGATGACCAATAGAATTGTCAATAATTTTTCTCACCATCCCGATACCGGGTGCTCAAGTCGATCATGCCAAGTGTGGAATGCATCAACATTTTAAAAAATCACTTTGTACACAACATGTGCAATGGGCTTAATGTATGTATAGTACAATCCCAATGTGAGAGATGGAATTTTCTCGCAAATGCGTTTGCCATATCCCTTTTGTTTGGTTAAGAGAAGAAATTCTTCTCGATTATGCATATGGGTTTCAATGTGAAACCCAATTTGACGGATATCTCTATAACTTAGTAGGGTATGGGTTGAATCAGGATACAATAAAGCATCCTCGATTGTAATTTGTGTATCCATTGGGAGTGTAATAGTTGCTCGTCCTGAGCCAAATATCACAGTATCGCGCCCAGCGATAGTCAAAACTTTGCCTTCTCTCTTTTTGAGAGCTTGAAAGTATTTGATCTCCCTAAGTATAGAGTTTGTGGTACCACTGTCCACAAGACATAATTCATCTCCAATCGGAGTCATATCCTTAGACATCTATAGTGAAAGAAGAATTGCTTAGTGAAGAATTCTTTATCCACAATATATACATACATACAATAATTAAAACATCAAATACATAGTATGATGTTTACAAATGTTATAAGTACATACTCTAATGACTAGCAAGTCTTACAACCTTATAATATAAGGGAGTTTGTACTTATCTACTTATTACAACCAATATTGTTTTGACAAACTATAGGATATCAATATAATGTCTCAAACACACTGAGATTAAAGCAGCTTTATCTCTAAGTGGGGTGCACTGCGATCATAGTAAATCTCCAACTGGGTCCGTTGAGCAGTACTCGATGAGCATGTCATCCATTGCAGAAAGTGCCGCGGTATCCTCTAGGAGAAGAGCGAGGTTGTTCTCTGGTTCAATAGGAGCCTGGTGAGAACTTTCAATCTCAGGTTTTTCTTTTGTAAGATTGAAGTGAGCTTCAACCTGGTGAGAACTTTCAATCTCAGGTCTTTCTTTTGTAAGATTAAAGTGAGCTTCAAATCTTAGTTCTTTAGAAGATTTATTTTTCTCCTTTAGGGATTTCTGATACATGAGAACAAGATGTTTTTGGGATGCGGCAATCTTTAGTGACATGATAGTCAGATCCACACTTGTTGTAATGCCTGTTGCTATTTGCCACGAGGTTGTGGTGCCTGACCTTTCCCTTTTCCTTTCTGTCGACCATTGGATTTGCGCCTGTTGTTGCGTTTGCGTTGTCCAGTTAGATTCTTAGGGTTATTCGAGGAATTTCTCTTGAATCCTTTTAGTGCGATACTATTGGTTCAGTATCCTGTCCTTTGGAAACATAGTTGATAGAGTTTTCTCTATCTTCTCTGCTTCCGTTGGCTCTTTTTCGCAAAATCCTGTAGGCGTAAATGAATCCACTCATAATTAGCCTCAGGCCAAATGAGTTCCTTTTGCTGATCATAACGCTCTTTTAGAGCTTTCTATAGGTTGAGAGGGCTCGTCTCCAACATGTACTCATGTTTGAGATCTTTATAGATGTAGAGCCTTAGAAGGAAAATGGCAATATATAGCTTTCTGTTCTCAACTAGTGGATCCCAATCATTGGGTTCCTAAATTGTATTTGAAATCCCACGAGAACAAAAATTTATTTTGATATCGGAAGCCCAAATTGGGTAGTTACTCCCATCGAGGGCGAGTTCGTCGAACTCTATAGTTGTCATGTCCCTATAATCATGATTAACATTATTTATTTACAGAGGTAAATTAATAAAAACATGACATTGAGGTTGTAATCTCAATGCGAAATGTAAGACTTCATATTTTGTAATGTTTCGAAAAGATGTAGGTTATAGACCTGATAATTTGAGTTAGAATTCGAAATTAGGTGGCACAATGTGGATAATCTCCAAGTAATTAAACAGTGGAGTAGATCTCTTAATAGTGGGCAAGTTATACTTGCTGCCTAAAACATGATCTCTAGGCAAATATATTCTGGTGAATATACCGCAGCCAATGTTTAGGACTCCACTACCTTGTGTTTATCCAAATTTCAAATAATCTCATTTTTCAAAACATATTCTCGGAAAATACCACATGTGGGTAATCATCGTGAGATGTAGACCTCTGTGTGATAGGCGAGATACTCGCTGCCTAGGTTATGACCAGTGTGGCCAATTTGTAGGACTCCACCGGGTAATCATCTCAAAATGTAGAACACTTAATGATGGGCAACATACTTGCTACCTAGGTTATGGTCACGATGACCAAAATATAGGACTCCAGCTACATGTGATTAATTTCCGAGTCAAAATGTGTAGTGGAACATGCATTAAATCCTCCATTAATCATGTTGTACATAATTAAGAGAATTTGCTAAATTAAAGTACAAAATTTAAAGAATTTTGTAAATTAATGAAGCGAGGAAGTAGAGCATGTCTCAAAATAATATGCAAAAGGCATTTAATTAAGACAACATGAAATTTAGTGAAGCAGGGTATTTGAATAAACACCTATGTTAAGTAACATATAACACCAGTGGTCTTACATTGTAATTTGTACAACTGATGAACTGCTTGTACTAAATTAAATAAAACACAGGGACTAATATGAAATTGCTGCTAAAATAAAATTAAAAACTAAAATAAAGGGGTAAATGGGTGGTGGGCCGAAATCAATAGGATTCGGCCCACCACCGCTAGAGTGTAGCCGGCCCATCAGGCCCGAGAGGAAAAGGGCGTAGGGGGGCTTGGGGGGGGGGGGGGTTAGGGTTACCCTAACCGCCCCCGCGGTTTGTGCCGCCGCCGCCGCACATGATGTCGCCGAGGCGGCGCCGCCTCCTGCACCTCTTCTGCCGCCACCGTCCATTTCGGCGCCTCCTTCTTCACCACTTCCAGCGCCGTTTCCACTGCCGACTCCCTCATCCACCACCGATTCCTTTTCTGCCGCACCTTCTTCCCCTGTTACACCACTGCCGGCGCCTCCATTTCTGCCGCCCTCACCGCTATAGTCACCGCAGCCCCCGTCGTCCGCCGACAGCCCCCTCTCCTCATCGGAGTAAGAGTCCGGTCGGGTTCGGACGCCGTTCTCCCCACTCCATTTGAGAGCGTGCAACTCGGGGAGTCGTGAGGAATGGCGCGGGCGGAAAGTAGCGGGGAGGCTGGGTGGCAAGCGGCGGCTTCACCAGCATGGTGGCGAGACTATGATGGAGGGTAGAAGGCCGGCTACCCCGTGCGCGTGGTGAGAGTTCCAATCCCCGAAACCCCGGCGGCGCGGGATCGGGGGAGCAGCTCCGACGAGGTGAAGGTGATGGCGGAGCGGCGACGAACGGTGCCGGTGGCGACTCCATCTCCAGTGGGAGGGAGCACTGCTCGCCGGCGGGTGTCACCACCGCAATCCATCCATGGTGCCTGGACCTGGACGCGGCGGGGCGCCGGTGCCATGGCGGGCGCTTGTGGTGGTGGAGTCGGAGGTGTAGCAGCGACGGCAAATGCTGCGCCGAGGATGGTGGCGGCGGCCACCAACCCTAGAATGGTGCCCGGCATGGCGATGGTGGCGACTCCTCGAATCGACAGAGGAGGTGGCGAAGGCGATGGGTGCGGTCTCGGCGAGGGAGGCCGAGAACGGCATCGAGGATGAAATCAAGGTAGACATACCTTATGCGCTTCCTTAGTTTCTTCTGTTCTTCGCTTTTTCTTGAGATAAAAAGCAATCGGATTTCTTCTCTTCGCTTAGAGCTAAGTGCTGATAACATGTTGAAAGTGGGTAAGATTGATTGAGCGAGAGAGAGAATTGACCACAATAGAGCGAATGAGTGGATGTCCTTTATTGATCAATGCGGTCCTTTATTGATCAATGCGGTACAATTTATAGAGGGGGAAGAGGTGGCAACTGTAGACGCGTCCGTTGCCAAGGAGCGCCTAGGGAAGAGGCGTGGATGCCTTCGGTTGCGATCCATCCTTTTATATGGATGAGTTCACCCTATTGTTTCATAACAAATTTTGTGAAATACCTTACTATAAATTTGTAACAAACTGGCAGTTTTAACCAAATAATTGTCAATATATGTAACAACATTAGCATTTGATAAGGGAAACATGACATCACTGCTACAGAGTACCCATAGATACCGGATGGGAACTTCTTCTCAACTGGCACCAATTTAGAGACATATTTCACAAAGGTGTACTAGGTTTTTAAAACTAACACCTAAAAAGATGTGCCAGTTTTCCATGGTAAAAGAAAAAGAATAGCCGGCTCTCTACCGGCTCAAATGGATGCAACCCTGATTATTGCCGCCGTTATTAACAACTTGATCATTAAAAGGAAAGTCAAGCGCAATTACCAAAATTAGAGCAGGAAAAATGGATCTTCTAAAAAAAACAAACAATAAAAAGATGTAACTACACAGAGACCGCACCCTATATTGTCTTAACCAGAGACTCATCTTTAGATCTGGTTGCCTACTAGTAAACCGAATAATACATGCCTTTTTTTTCTTCTTATAGATTTTTCTTTTAAATTACTTATCTATCCATAATCCGATTACACCATTGTGTTTGTTGCAATTAAATTTGTACAACAAGATCTTACATGACTATATTTTGATAAAAGAAATAAATATATATATATATATATATATTGTAAAATATTTTTATTATATAAATAAGTTACTTTTATCATATATATAAATTACTTTTCGATTTGATTAAATTACTTCTTATACATTCATGATGTTGTGAATATATTGTTTATTTTATTATCATTTTTGGTCAATTCCGTAATTTGTGCTAATTAAATTTAATTGCTAGATAAACTCATGTTTTTATCTCCATAACGGATTTACTTTTAATATCATCACAAAGTTACTTTCTTTTTTTTAAGTTACTTCTATAATATATGTAAATTATTATTTTAAGTTACTTCTATAATATAATATATGTAATTACTTTTATGCTTTATTGAATTTACTTTTATATGTCGAAGAAGTAGTTTAGTGAAATTTAAAATTAATTAAGGTATATTATAAGAGTAATTTATATTTTTTTCATTAAAACATAATCATGTGAGATCTTGTTATAAAACTTTAACTTTTATGAACACAACGGTGTAATTGGATCATAGATCGGATAAGTATTTTAAGAGAATTTTATTTGAAGCACATGTGATAGGAATATATTTTTTTCTACTTGCTTGTTGGACTAGCTAGTACTATAGTGAAGGTATATTGTTAGGGCCTCTCGTTAGCATTAAAACAAGATGCCTCTTGATTTAGATTTTACCAAAAAAAAAAGGTTCGTATGGAGAAAAAAAAGGAGAAAACTTTTGGGAAGGAAAAGAATCACGAAGAAACAGCGAAACCAAGAAATTCCCACCTCAACCAGTCAAATAATAAACAAAATTAGCTTAATTGGATCCATGCCTTTACAAATTTGCCTATTCAAATAAATGACATTAAAATTCGTCTATTAATAGTCGTATCACTAAAATTTTACAAAATTGGACCGTGCCACTGTCTTCACGTTTTCCATCAATATCCTTTATTTTCCATCTTCTTCCTTCTTTCTCTCGTCTTCTTCCTAGAAGAAGAGGGCATACAATCACGAGCCATAGAGAGCCATAGCCACAAGCCACGTTAAGAGATAGCCAACAGGAAGACAATCGCTAAGAGATAGGACAACTGTAGTTTCCTATTGCAAAACTATATCCTGATAATTAAATCAATACTTCAACATATCCACCTCATTTAATTAGATGATGCGGTCATATTATCTATATTTTTAATAGATAATATCTTCAAATAAAATATTGTAAAATTCACAAAGACATATATAGTATGAAAAAAATGTTACTTAGTAGAATTTAGAAATTCCAAAAGTAAGATACTTACAAAAACACACTTATGTACAAATGTTATATAGTTTCATAGGTAGCAACTTCATCGTGACACGATATTTTCTTATAAATTCAAAACTCGGTGTTTTTAAGTAATTTTAGTTTACAAGTTATACATTGTTATACGCCACAATGGTAATCCCAAATAAATTTTTTTAAAAAAAACATGTTTACAATAGAATAAGTATAAATATTCGTAATAAAAAAGATGGACG